TTTCATAGCCTTCTGGTAAAAATGTCTTAAGCAGCTGGTGAGGCACGGTGGCTCACTCCTGTAATCCCAACGCTCTGTGAGGCTGAGACGGCGGATCACCTGCGGTGAGGAGTTCAAGACCAGCCTGGCCAACATGGTGAAGTCCCATCTTTACTAAAAATACAAAAAAATTAGCCAGGCGTCATGATGCATGTCTGTAATCCCAGCTACTTGGGAGGCTGAGGCAGGAGAATTGCTTGAACCCAGGAGGCAGAGGCTGCAGTAAGCCAAGAGATCATGCCATTGCACTCCAGCCTAGGCAACGAGAGCGAAACTCTTTCTGGAAGAAGAAAAGCAGCTATCACCAGTCTAGTAATGCTATGTCTTCATTCCAGTATGAGCTGGATACCTACTAAGAATCAGGCATTGCCATTGTCTCATGAAAATGGAATTTATTTTTTTATTAGGATGCTCACAGAAGAACACATGAACCAGCACTAGTGTGATAGAGTACATCTGACCCACGCTGTGGCACGACACAGGGGAAGGGCTCTCACAGCTGGTGCCAAGTGTCCACCAAAGAAAGTCCCATTCACCAGAGGAAGGTTGTTTCCTTGGATTCCATCGCCTCTGCTGCAGCTGCCAGCCAGGTCTTCATGCTCTTCCGGGAATCCTTCATGCCAGCACCAGTTCATGTTCTCTGCCCTTGCTACTCCTGACTCTTTCAAGACCCAGGTCAATGCCTCATGGCTCACTCACCCAGGTCACCTCTGGAATCCTGCAGCACATCTCTTTGGTATGCTGCTGCCCTGCCACCCTCAAGGGCACGGTTGGGGGTTGGGGGAGAACATCAACATCAATCACAATACCAAAAGCAAACAGCAGGGGTACAATAGTAAATAATACTTGGACATAGCCTAACTACCTCACAGAACACATGCTTCCTCCCCAAATGATACGTAATGCCCCAAGAACAAAGAAAACTCCTTGATCACTATAACAAGTATGAATGATTCTGTGTGCCAGGCACAAGGGATACACAATGAATGGTATTTAATTCCACCATACTCTGCACACAATAGGAAGCTAGTGGCTAAAAGCTGGAACTAGGTCTCTATGCTGGCTCCATCAGCTTTCTCCTGACTCTGCCTTTGAATGGTGCCACCACCCTGCTTCAGCCTGTTCTGAACATTGTTCGTTTTTCAAAAGGGAGGATAAAAGGATGAAGGATGGCAGAGAGAGAGAGGAAAGGAAGGGGGAAAACCACCCTATAAAACAGAACAAAAACACCACAAAAATCCAGAAACCAGATGTAGTACTACAACATTTTATAACAATAGAGAATACTGTAGCTGAAACTACTACATGCTAACACAAACAATATGATACACAACCTCGGGGGAGAATTTGGCAGGGAGCACATGGCACGGGCCACAGGTTTAGACCAAGAGCCTCTCAATGGACTGCTGAATGGACTGGATCTGCTGTTTCAGCTGTGAGCCTTCTTTGATGGTGACAGAACAGGCGATGACTGGCCTGGAGACCCCACAGGCTCTCCCCAGGGCCTGCTTGGAGCGCACAAACACATAGGGCACATTCTTGTCTTCGCACAGCAGCGGGAGGTGCAGAATGATCTCCAGTGGCTCGGCATCTGCAGCCATCACAATGAACTCAGAGATGCCCCTGTTGAGAGTTTTGGTGGCTGTGGAGAGAAGGATGTGAAGCTAACAGGTGATGTGGGCTTGGGCAGGGCAGCCACAACAAAGCAATTTCCAGAAAAAATTACAGGTACAAGAAAACCGGGCAAAATGCCTAGGCACATACAATTATGAGAGCGGCCCTGGGATAGGACAAAGGATTCAAACACATTGGCCTCTTCTGAAACCCTATATTAAACCCACCACTTATCTTCAAAACACATCCTGAATCTCATCACTTCTTTCTTTTTTTTGAGATGAAGTCTTGCTCTGTTGCCCAGCTGGAGTGCAGAGGCGCAATCTCAGCTCACTTCAACCTCCACTTCCTGGGTTTAAGTGATTCTCCTGCCTCAGCCTCCCAAGTAGCTGGAATTACAGTCAAGTGCCACTGTGCCCAGCTAATTTTTGTATTTTTAGTAGAGACAGGGTTTCACCATGTTGTCCAGAACTCCTGACCTCAAGTGACACACCCACCTCAACCTCCCAAAGTGCTGAGATTACGAGCTTGAGCCACTGTGCCCGGTCTAATCTGTCCACTTCTTTCTACTCCTCTGCTACACTTGTCCAAGTCACCATCATCATCTTTCCTTGTCAACTGCAACAGCTTCCGCAAACTCCCACCAGCAAGAATTAGTATATTAATAATATAGTACTTCTCAAGGTATATGTGACCGAGAGTCAGTTTTACTATCTCAATCTGCCATAATCAATACTTCTAGAAAGCTCACCCAACATGTGACTCACCACGCAAGTTCAACAACCCACAGCACCATTTCAGATGCATACTATTCTGATTGCTTGTCTCTGTGGCTCACTCTGAATACTCTGCATTCATGCTACAGTACTCGACAAGGGCACACACTCTAGAGCTGCACTGCCTGAGTGCAAATGATGGCGCTCATTGTCATTTCACAAATGACCTTTAGAAAGGTGTTTAACTTCCCTTACATTTATCATCTATAAAGTAACACAGTACAATAATTCTACCTAATAGGATTCTTGAAAGGATTGAACAAGTTAATAAGAATGGGGCCAGGCGCTGTGGCTCATGCCTGTAATCCTAACACTTTGGGAGGCCGAGGTGGGGGGATCACCTGAGGTCAGAAGTTCAAGACCAGCCTGGCCATCATAGTGAAACCCCATCTTAAAAAAAAAAAAAAAAAAAAAAGGCCGGGCGCGGTGGCTCAAGCCTGTAATCCCAGCACTTTGGGAGGCCGAGGCGGGTGGATCACGAGGTCAAGAGATTGAGACCATCCTGGTCAACATGGTGAAACCCCGTCTCTCCTAAAAATACAAAAAAATTAGCTGGGCATGGTGGCGTGTGCCGGTAGTTTCAGCTACTCAGGAGGCTGAGGCAGGAGAATTGCCTCAACCCAGGAGGTGGTGAGCCGAGATCGTGCCATTGCACTCCAGCCTGGGTAACAGGAGCAAAACTCCGTCTCAAAAAAAAAAAAAAAGTTAGTAAGAGTGATGAGGCTGGGCACACTGCCTTGTACCTGTAATCTCAGCAGTTTGCAAAGCCGAGGCAGGCAGATTGTTTGAACCCAGAAGTTTGAGACCACCTTGGGCAACATGGCAAAACCCCATCTCCACTAAAATATAAAAAAATCAGCCAGGTTTGGTGGTGTGCACCTGTAGTTCCAGCTACCTGGAAGGCTTACCTAAGCCCAGGAGGTCATGGCTGCAGTGAGCCATGATGATGCCACCGCACTCCAGCCTGGGCTACAGAGTGAGACTGTCTCAAAATAAATAAATAAATAAATAAAAATGGCTGACACATGGTAAATGCAAAACATGTTCAAAATCTTTCTACTCATTTCCCATTGTACTCACAAAAAAATGTAAACTGCTAACAATGGCCTACATAGTCTCATGTGATCTCCTAGCACCTCTCATCCCCTCACTTAGTTCCAGCCACACACCAGCCTCCTTAGAATCCCTCAAGCATGCCTTTGCACCACGCCCAAAAATGTTTCTTCCCAACACCTCCATCTGTTCTCTGCTCAAACTTTAACTCCTCAGACAGACCTTCTCTGAATACTTTACCTAAAAAGACCCCACCACTGCCATTCCTATCCCCCTTCTCTACTTTATTCTCTTTTATGGCATTCTTTACCACCAGACATAAAACCTATGTCTTTCTCCACTGAAATGTACACTCCAAGAAGGCAGACACTTCGTTTTGTTCACCAATGAATCATCAGCATATACACACGTACCTGGCACACAGTAGGCAGCCAATAAATAAGGGCAGAAAGAATACTTGACACTGAGGCAGAGGTATGGAAAACTGTTGCCTCTTTCTCCCTGAATTCTTAGTAAGCACATTCTGAATTCGAGTCGTGAGCCTGAGCATCTCCAATCAAGGACCTGCCTGCCCTAAGCACCTGCGTGCCTAGCGCCATGCAAAGTGCAGCAAGAGGAAATAAGCTGGCTCTGTGTCCATGAGTCCTCATCTACCTGAGGTATAAGAACTCATGCCCCTGCCCAGCCAAGCTGACCTGACTGCATCAAGTAAGAAGAGAGACCTCCCGGGAGAGCTGGTGAGTCACCCTGCAATGCACTATTGGCCACTGCTATACCAGGCACTGCAGTTAACTGCAGTGTGACGAGCAGGGAGGAAAAGAGCACCATGATGAGATAGAGAGAGTCAGTTTTATCTTCCTTCAGCAACACAGATTAAAGTGATTCTAATGGTTCTCCTAAATCTCAAACACAATTGACAAAATCTCTGATGTTTCCATTAAAATCTTCAACGACAGAAGAACTCTACCACACCAAACTGCCCGGCACCTGGTAAAATCAGAGTATTCTGGCAGGGCATGGGGACTCACACCTGTTATCCCAGCACTCTGGGAGGCTGAGGCAGGTGGACTGCCTGAGCTCAGGAGTTCGAGACCACCCTCAGTAACAGAGCAAGATTCTGCCTTAAAAAAAAAAAAGGCGGGGAGGGGGGGGACTGGGCACAGTGGCTCACCTGAGGTCAGGAATTTGAGACCAGACTGACCAACATAGTGAAACCTCATCTCTACTAAAAATACAAAATTAACCGGGCGTGCTGGTGCATGCCTGTAATCCCAGATACTTGGGAGGCTGAGGCAGAAGAATCACTTGAACCCAAGAAGTGGAGGTTGCAGTGAGCCAAGGTCCTGCCACTGCACTCCAGCCTGGGCAACAAGAGCAAAACTGTCTCAAACAAATAAATAAATCAAAATAAAAAATAAAGTATCATGCATACATAATTATTCTACTAAAGAACAGCATTTTTTTTTCTTTTTCTTAATCTTTCTTTTCTCTTCTTTTTTTTTTAAACCAAGGGAGGCGGTGCTCCGTTTGGCAGCACATATACTAAAACTGGAACAATACAGAGATTAGCATGGATCCTGCGCAAAGATGACATGCAAATTCGTGAAGAGTTCCATGTTTTTGAATAATTGCATCCAAATAAAAAAAAAGGCGGGGGGAGAGGGGTAGGGAATGTTTCTGGAAACCAAATAAAATTCATGAATGCTAAGTATCCACAGTACAAAAGATGCTAAAAAGCATTAATATACTTTTCCTTCTAATGGCTCTGGAGAGGTCACACATTACTATACAAAGTCTCTACAACTGCTTTCAAAATGGCTCAACAAAAAAAAAATTCATTTATAGAGTGTAAAAGAAGGTAAATGTGACAAAATGTTAACAATTTGTGGGTCTAAAAAAAATTCTTAGCCCATCGGCTTTAGCATCTAATGCCAAAATGCTGCTCTTAGGTCCTTCCACTGGTTGCAGTCAAGAGCATCTAGCCCTCCTCCCAAATTGGAAATCTAGACCAGAGGCCCCAGATGGAAACATGTGCCTTTAACATTTCCCCAGAGCACCCTGTGGCTGCCTTACCCTCATTGGCTCCTTTCCGAAGCTGCTTATAGTTACATGACTGCTGAACAAGGTCCAGTAGTTTCTTGGTGAGGTGGGCATCAGCGAGGGGATAGGCCTTCGGATTCACATCGGCCTCAGTCTAAGTGGGGGGGAGGGGGAGATAAAAATATCAGTCAAATTGAACCGCAAGTTTTCCTACCTGAGTCACAAAATATTAATCAACAACTAACTGAGAAACAGGGAGCAGCTGCCCTGCTCCCCCATCCTCCAACACACAGAACACTATGTAGTTAACAATGAGCTTTCCATTTCTACCTTCGGAAAAAAGGAAATACATTAGAAACTATACAGTTCAATGAAGTATACTAAAGCTCATGTACTTTTGTCTCTTCAGCCCAATGTTCGATGATATTACAGCAAATGGATTACAAATGGGCTCCCACGGCTCAGCATCCATTTGAGTCCATGGGTAATCTGTATTTTTTTTTTTTAAGACGGGGTCTCACTCTGTTGCCTGGGCTGGAGTGCAGTGGCCTGCAACCTCTGCCTCTGCTCACTGTAATCTCTGCCTCCCCTGTTCAAATGATTCTTGTGCCTCAGCATCCCAAATAGCTAGGACTACAGGTGTGCACCACCACACCTGCCTAATTTTTGTATTTTTTTTTTTGTAGAGATAGGATTTCACCATGTTGGCCAGGCTGGTCTTGAACTCTTAGCTCACATCTGTAATCACAGCACTTTGGGAGGCTGAGTGCAGGTGGATCATCTGAGGTCAGGAGACCATTGGTAATCTTTAAATTTGAACTTCTGTATTCCACTTGAATTTATGGAATCAATACTAAGATGTAATTTACAGTAAATGTAGCACAAAATTCTTTTAATTCCCCATTCCACATGCAAATCTTCTGTTCAAACCCCTGATTTCCAACAGACCAAAGTATTTCCTCACCTACTCTGCAATACACAAAAAATGGTTCCAAAATTGCTACAACAATATACCACCTCTCCCAACAAACTTACCAAGGTCAAAATTTATTTTTGTTCTTAGGATATAGCCCACCAAAGCCATCCAGTGATAGTACTATGCTCAAAAATTATTCAAATTAAAATTTTCCTTGTGGCAATGTGATATACAATTAAGACTTGTTTGTAGTCAGCTTGCTTTAAATTTTATTTTTCAAACATGTAAAATATCTTCATGGTTTAAAAGTCAAAACTATGCTAGTGATAGCAACTCAGTGTTGTGAAAACCGGGAAAGGGAAACAATCATCTTCTGTGCCTTTCCTAAACATCGTATTAGTAGGTAACCAAATAGAAGATGAAAAATACCTCTTTTATCACTATTCCACCTAATAAAGAGTAAATGGTACACTTAAATATCACCAATTTGTAACCCTTATTAACTAATTAATGGCATTTGCAGTTATGTTAAAAATTCTTACTTTACAGATACATACTGTAATACTTATGGATAAAATGGCGTCATTGAGATGTGCGTCAAAATAACCCAGGTAGGGGTTGGGCACAGTGTCTTACGCCTGTAGTCCCAGCTACTTGGGAGGCTGACGCAGGAGAAGAGCTTGAACCCAGGAGGCAGAGGATGCAGTGAGCCGAGACTGCGCCACTGCACTACAGACGACAGAGCGAGGCTCCATCTCAAAAAATAAATAAATAAATAAATAAAAAATGACGCACGTAGGTAGCGAACTGGGTGAGCGGCCTGCCTGTTTCGCTCCTTCTACCTCATTCCCACCGCAACACCATTTTCATTAATTTTCTTTCTTTTTTTTTCTTCCACAAGCACAGCACATATTTATACAAGGGTATACTCATATTAAAACCCCGGGCAGCCCCCAATGTCGCCATTGTGTATTAATGTGCGACTCGCCAGTGATTCGCTGCAGCCGCAATCTAACCTCGGCCTTGGAGGCTGGACACAAGGTGGACGGCAGTCGCTGGAGACGGTCGGGTGGGAACACTTATCTATCGCGCCTGCCTTGGTAGTCTCCTGTGGCACATTGCGTGCCTGCCTTTTTCTCCTTCAATTTTTTTTTTACAGCCTTTTTTGATATAGCTGGCTCCCGGCACCGCGGTTCTGAGGAGGTGAACCGTGGGTAGTGGCCCAGTAGAAACACTCACCATAGCGTATGTCTTGGTAGTCTCTCCCCGGACACCGCAAGGACACCACGCGTGTTAGTCTAAGGTGGTCTGTTGCCCCGCACCGCAAGGACACGGATGCCCCGCCCCATGAGCAGGAAGTGACGGCATTGCACCGGGCGGAAGTGACGTCAAGCGCCAGACAGTACACCAGGACGCCCTGTCTTCTACCTAACTCGTAATCTTAGGCAAACCTGTCTTGGTCCCAAGATGACTGGGAGGAGTTAGGTGAAGGATGGAGTTGTTCTCTAAAGCGGAGGTTGGGGGAGGTCGAGGGAATACCTCTGTATTATTTTTCTCTTCCCCATACATTGACTGATTGATTGACGGAGCCTCCCTCTGTTGCCCAGGTTGGTGTGCAGTGGCATGATCTCGGCTCACTGCAACCTCCGTCTCCCGGGTTCAAGTGATTCTCTCGCCTCACTGCCTCCCGGGTACCTGGGATTATAGTTGTGACCACGCCCAGCTAATTTTTGTATTTTTAGTAGAGACAGTGTTTCACCACGTTGGTTAGGCTAGTTTCGAACCCCAGACCTCAGGTAATCTGCCCGCCTCAGGCTCCCAAAAGTGCTGGGATTACAAGCATAAGCCACCGTGTCCGGCCTATCCTTTATTTGTAATGTCTATAGAGTATGTCACCTTCATGTGTTACTTAAACTTTCTCTTTTTTTTGGAGACAGGGTCTCGCTCTGTCACCCAGGCTAGAGTACAGTGGTGCGATCTCTGCTCACTGCAACCTGCTCCCAAGTTCAAGCGATTATCCAGCTTCAGCCTCCGAGTAGCCGGTACTACAGGCACACACAACCATGCCCGGCTAATTTTTTTTTCTTTTTTTTTTGAGACGGAGTTTCACTCTTGTTGCCCAGGCTGGAGTGCAATGGCGCATTCTTGGCTCACCGCAACCTCCGCCTCCTGGGTTCAAGCAATTCTCCTGTCTCAGCCTCCCAAATAGCTGGGATTACAGGCACGCGCCACCATGCCCAGCTAATTTTTTGTATTTTTAGTAGAGACGGGGTTTCACCATGTTGACTAGGATGGTCTCGATCTCTTGACCTCGTGATTCACCCACCTCAGCCTCCCAAAGTGCTGGGATTACAGGCTTGAGCCACCGCGCCCGGCTCTTTCTTCTTTTTAAAGGCAGAGTCTAACTCTTGCCCAGGCTGGAGTGCAGTGGCACAATTACAGCACACTGCAGCCTCCAACTCCTGGGCTCAAGTGGTCCTCCTGCCTCAGACTCCCAAGTAGTTGGGGACTACAGGCATCACCATTACACCTGGCTAAGTTTTTAATTTTAGAGGGACTGTCTCATTATATTTCCCAAGCTGGTCTTGAATTCCTGGCCTCAAGCAATCTTCCTGCCTTGGCCTCCCAAAGTACTGAGATTACAGGCATACAGGGGTGAGCTACTGTCCCCAGCCCATCTATATATTTTTAATCTTTCACTATTTTGTTTAACCTCATATCTATACCTAATGTGTTATCTCATATCTATATTATGTTTCATTCAGTATATCTGTAAGATAAACTTCTAGAAATGGGATTAGTGAGTCAAAAGATATAATAAGTATTTGTAACTGTCATATCTTTCCAAATTGACCCTATACAGGGTTTAACAACTTGCACACTGCCAGCAATGCATGACAGTGAGCAATTCCCCAAAATGTAGACAACTGTGTCAAACTGAAGCAGCTTCCTTAACTGGGGTAAATATCTGGGTTTCATTGTCTTGTCAAGAAAATTTAGGACACAGACACACAGAAGGAGTTTAGGAGCAGAGGTTTTTTTGTTTTGTTTTGTTTTGATCTCAGCTCACTGCAACCTCTGCCTCCTGGGTTCAAGCAATTCTCCTACCTCAGTCCCCACCAGTAGTTGGTTACAGGCACGTGCCACTATGCCAGGCTAATTTTTGTACTTTTAGTAGACACTGGGTTTCACCATGTTGACCAGGATGGTCTTGAACTCCTAACCTCAGGTGATCTACCCGCCTCGGCCTCCCAAAGTGCTGGGATTACAGGCGTGAGCAACCATGCCCGGCCTTCCCTTCTACTTTCATTGGGGTTATTTTGTCCTTGTGTTTTGTTCCTACTTTTTAGCCCCTTTCTCCCTAGCATAAGCATCTTAGGCCCTAAGCAATACTTTGATTATATCCTTTCATTTGTTTCTTCTCCCCTCTGCCCTCGTCACTTATGCTCTGGTGTGTGGTATTTTCATTATTGTTCAGTTCTATTTTTGAATTTCTACTACAATTTTTAAATCTCTGATAATTTATATTTTTCATTTCAAAGTACTTTGTTACGAATTTTTAACTTATTTGCATTTTGGCTGGGCAAAAATGGTATAGTATTATTACCAATGTTAAAATTTGTAGGGCTTGCTTTATGGCCAACTTTCAAAAACGTTCCATGTTTG